TTTGTCTTTTCATAATTAGGTTTGCGTTAGGCTTCTTGACAGGTTTCCTTTGAACCAATAGCCGAGTTCTGTGGTTCAAAATAAATATTTAAAAGCCCGTGCACCTAGATAACCTCACTGGTTGTCTGTGACATAGACAAGGCAGTGTACAGCCCTTCCCCCTCCTCCCTTTCAGGGTGAGCAGAAAACCACAGCTTCTGGGAACCCCCTGCCTAGAACCATGCACCTGCCAAAAATAGCCAGATGGATGCCAGTGTTTCCTCAGGAAGACTTTCGGCTAATTAGATCATTATCATAAAATGACAGTGGCTGAAGCTCCCACGTCCAGGATTTCCAAAATAGGGGCCAGGGAATGAGTAGCATTCAAGTTACACCCCCAAGCTCTCCGCTGTGTGAGAACTTGATGAATCCCAGCCTTGCACACAGCCCCTGCTCTTGAGTTTGTTCTTGCGTTGGAAAGGAGAACATTGGCTCAGCCAGCTGAAAACATCTGGCGAGGTGCCCAAGAGGAAGCAGGAATTGAAGCCTCCCCACTCCCTGCACCCTCAGTCAGCTGGCCAGTCTTTCTCTGGCTCTTGTCTCCTGTGTGCTGGACAGTCTTGGTTCTGTTCTGTTCTCCACTCTGCCAACCCACTGCAGATCAGCTCCTCCTCTTAACCCAACTGCGTCTGTGCCCTCCTGGGACTTGGCAGTGGGAAGGCCTGGAGCTGGCCCAGGGCGGGTTGGACACCTTTGGGTCCTTTTGATCTGTAATAGTGGCTCACAGATCTGCTCCCAGGCTCCACAGTGCCCGCAGGTCTCCTTGCTTCTGTCACCATCTGGTCATGGACTTCCTCCATTGTCTGAACCTCTGGCCTTTTTGCTCCTTTGGGATGAGTGCTGCATTGTTTGTTTGTTTGTTTATTTATTTCTCTTTCTTCTTTCTTTCAAGATTAACTTATTTTTATTGGAAAATCAGATTTACAGAGTGAAGGAAAGACAGAGAGGAAGATCTTCCATCCTCTGGTTCACTCCCCAAGTAGCTGCAATGACTGGAGCTGAGCCAATCCAAAGGCAGGAGCCAGAAGCTTCCTCTGAGTCTCCCATGTGGGTGCCGGGTCCCAAGGCTTTGGGCCATCCTCCACTGCTTTCTCAGACCACAAGCAGGGAACTGGAAGGGAAGTGGAGCAGCCAGGATATGAACCAGTGCTCAAAAGGGATTCTTGTGCATGCAAGGCGAGGACTTTTGTGATTAGGCTACTGTGCCAGGCCCACCATTGCCATGTTCTGTCTTCTCCAATGATGGGTTTGGTCTCCATGCAGTAAGCCTCTGCCCACAGATGTGAATCAATCCCATCATCCTCTGACTCGATGTCTCTGTGGGAGGGCCTCTGGCACCTTGCTAAGGGTTGCCATCCTCCATGCCCAAGGCAAAGTCCAGAACAAGGATTCTGGATGTTGTCCTGGGGTGTGACTGACAGGTGGTCTGAGGAATCACCCAGGATAATTTGGCAGTCATGTTAAACTGCTACATGCTGCTACCTTAGTAAACATATTAAAATGAGACCTGGACTTTCATGACTGACCCTATACCCTGTGACCACCCTACCTTCTTCCTTTGAGGGCAGTGGACACCTGGACAATATCCTAAGGCCTGGGGGTACCCTGCCCACCCTATACTCTCACCCCTGCGTCCACTTATGCAAAGCACAAAGGAGGCTGGACTCTGATTAGAGCAGTGGCCCTAAGCAGACAAAGGCTTAGTTTCTCCTGCAACTCTGGTCACACCCTGGCTTCAGGATAGAGGAAGCTGGCCCCTAACCGGGACCTGAGCTTCAGTACTTTGAACATGACCACTCCCGGAACACAACAGAAAGGTCAGAAACTCCTGACATCCAGGCCTTCTTGGCATTCTTTCAAACCCTTCTTCAACTCCAGGAACTGCTATATGTTATACTCACACCCTCCTAGAGACCCCAAGGCCGTGGATACACACCAGTGGATGACAGTGTCATCCCCTTAAGCTCAGCTTAACCCCTCACCAGCTCCACTACCAGTGGGTACTGAGCAACCCCCAGGTCTGGATTCTCTTCTCTTTACTGGACTGCTTCTACCCTACAACTCACTAGCTGAACTTGCTCCCATTGGGGCCTGCCACCACCAGGAACAGGTGCAACAGTGACTAATGGAGATGCTGGACAAATAGAGGATATGTCTCTTTCCCACAGCTCACTTAGAGCAGGAATGTCTGGTTCCTTTGCTAGGCAGGAAGCTGCTGTCCTCCCTGTATGCTTCTTAGCTTAACTGTCCCTAAACGTAAATCCTTTATTACTATCATGTGACAAGGACTGAAACAAGACCCAACAGGGATGACTGGATGATGGCCCTGTTTAAATCTGAGAGCAGAACCTTGTGTTGGGGACCAGGAATATCTGCACAGGCCACACGTGCTGCCCACATCACGGTCTTCCCAGAGGACTCAGGCTGGCCTCCTCACCACCACCAATGCCTCTTGAACATCAGAAGCCAGGCAGTGACTCCAACCTCTGACTGGTCGATTTCTCAATTATGGACTCCTGTCTCCATGGCAGCCCCTTCGTGGTACTTTAAATCCAAATAGGGTACATCAAATAGTTCGTGGTGTTAGGGACATAAATGAGGCTGTCATCTACCCCATGCTATCAAAGCCCTGTGCAATCCCAGCCCAGAGACCTGAGGCACCTGCTGGCTCACACAGATCTTGACTACATAAACGCCATCTCCTTAGGCCCTTAAACACAGAGGACACTACTGCCTAATCCTGAGAGCCAAGTTCACCTTCCAAGGTGTGAAAGAACAGTGGAAAGCTTGCATTTGCCATGCACTTGTTTTTGAATTTTTCTTTTTGAAAAAGCAGTTACATAGAAAGGAGAGACACAGAGAGAGGTCTTGCACCCACAAGTTCACTCCCCAAGTGGTGAAAATGACTGGGGGCAGGGAGAGGGTGCCAAGCTGAAGCCAGGAGGTAGGAGCTTCTTCCGGGTCTTCCACATGGGTGTAGGAGCCCAAGCACTTGGCCATCCTCTGCTGCTTTCCCAGGAACATGAGTGGGAGCTGGATCAGAAACGGAGCATATAGGTCTGGAACCGATGCCCATATAAGGACGCAGGCGTTGGAAGTGGCGGCTTTCCTGCCACACCCAACACCAAGAGAACTGGGGCGGGAGCATCCACTGACATGTTTCTTTGTTGTTGTTCTTTTATAAAAGACTTTAATTTGAAAAGCAGATTTATAGAGAGAAGGAGAAACAGAGGTCCTCCATCCTCCTCCATCCACTGGTTCATTCCCCAAATGGCCACGATGATTAGAGCTGAGCTGACCTGACACTGTGAGCTCAGAGCCTCCTCTGGGTTTCCCACATAGGTGCAGAGGCTCAGTGACTTGAGCTATCCCCTGTTGCTTTCTCAGGCCACATACTGGGAGCTGGATGGAAATGAAGCAGCCAGGACACAAACTGCCACCCATGTGGGATGTGGCAAAGGACTGGCCTGTTGAGTCACAGCGCCAGCCACCTTCCCCACATCCTCAACATTATCTACTTTTTTTTTTTAAAGATTTATTTTTATTATTTTTTCATTGGAAAGGCGGATATACAGAGAGGAGAGACAGAGAGGAAGATCTTCCGTCCGATGATTCATTCCCCAAGTGAGCGCAATGGCCGATGCTATGCCGATCCGAAGCCAGGAGCCTCTTTTGGGTCTCCCACGCAGGTGCAGGGTCCCAAAGCTTTGGGCCGTCCTCGACTGCTTTCCCGGGCCACAGGCAGGGAGCTGGAAGGGAAGCGGGGCTGCCGGGATAGAACCGGCGCCCATATGGGATCCCGGGCGTGCAAGGCGAGGACCTTTAACCACTTGCACCACCGCGCCAGGCCCAACATTATCTACTTTTTATATCCCTGGAAAACTGTCACTAGCAGGACAAACCCATAATAAATTTTTCTACCACAACAGCAAAAGAACAAAATCTTAATCTTGCATCATGAAACCAGTTTTCTGCCTAGGGTAACCTGGACGGCCAATCCCTAGGACACCACTAAGATTCCCTAACTGGGCCCAGCATGATGGTTCAGTGTCTAAATCCTCTCCTTGCATGCACTGGGATCCCATATGGGCACACATGTCCTTGCCCTGCTTTTGGAAATCTCTGTGACCTGAATGTATAAGTTTTGGCCCAAACACCATCCCTTATGAATATTCAATCCATCCTCCCCCACGCAGACACCATGGCCTCTAAAGGAGTGGACATGAACCACTTTGAGGGTGGCTGTCTTGTGTGTGCCTACACTCCTTTCTGGAGTACTTTGGCTTTGCATACAATTCCTGCTTCTCCAACAACCCACACCTACATCTCATTTTCACATTCTTTCTTGTGTTGAGGACAAGAACTTGGCCCTAGCAGGTTCTGATATTTTGATTTAGAGGTATTTTTTTTTTTAAACAAAGATAGAAAACTTTACCAAGAATACATCATTTTTAACTGACTGGTACACTAAGGTAAAAACGTTCTTGCTGAAGAACTGAAACTCTAGTGATCTTTTCACAGAGCTGATGGTGACACCACCTTCAACTCCAGTGCGACAGGGCTTGCGTCAAAGATACAAACATCAGGGCTGGGCACGAAGGTGCAGTGGGGCCAGCCAGCTCTCAGGGTGCCTGCGTCCCCCACTGGAGTGTCAGTTTGAATCCTGTTCTCCAGCTTCCAGCGGATGCATCCTGGGAGGTAGCAGACGATGGCCCAGTAACTGGGTCCTGCTACCCATGGATGGAGTTCCAAGTTTTGGGTTTTGGCCTGTTCAGCTCTAACTGCTGTGAGCATTTGGAGAGTGAACCAGTGGGCAGAAGGTCTCTTTTTTCTCTGCCTTTCAAAAAGATGAAAACAATCTTTGTTATAAACAGGGACATTTTATTTTTCTGAGTTATTACCCGAAGGCAAATAATACACATTGAAAATAACTACAAATAATTCAACTCCATGGACTGATGTGAAAAAAATACTAACTTTATTAGTTTTAAAAACCAAATTTGGTTACAACTAATCATGTAGATTTCTGCTTTTGTCACTTCGACAGGACAAGGAGTGCTTACAAGACCCTTAGAACACAGGAGGGTGAGAGCTGACAACGGACACACTACCACAAATGACAGACCACGACTGGGCTCACCTGCAAACAAGAAACACATGTACCAAAGCTACCGGTGTTTTTCAAGTCCAGAGTATTCACCATGGCTTAGGGTAACAGATGGGAATGCGCCCCCAACGGCAGCACACATTCACACACAAGTTCAGGGAATGTTGAATTCAACTTGAGTTCAACTAAGATCCAAATGAGATGGCCGAGGGCATTTTCTCACACTTGGAGGGGGTGTCCGGTGCAGCAGAGCCGTGGTCCACGCTGACCCGGGGCTGATAAGCTGGAAGAGGCATGTGGGGCACAGGAACAAGATAGCCACCTCGCTTCTCTCCTCCGGGCCCTGTCCAGGTTAGGAAGACTGGGGCCTAAACGGAGAATAATGTGGAAAGGTACACATCATGCCCACGGTGCAAATGCACACAGAGAGCTGGGCAGCAGCCCCCAGGGGTGGCACGGTGACCGCTTCTTCAGGAGGCTGCAGGTTTGCAACACACGCTGCCTAGCCTATCGATTTTGAGGTTGACAACACACTAGTACAGACGGGTAAAATCAGACACGCAGCGTCTGACTCATCCCAGGGTTAGGCCTTAATCTTGGCTACAAAGAACTCAACATAATAGTTTTTAACAATGTTTTTGGTCAGTGAACTTATTAGCAGTTGTTGCTTTCAGCTGTCTCATAGCTTGTGCTCTGCTGCTAACAATACTCTCCATGGTAACCAACATTTTCTTTTGCTTTGTGATGAAAGGAAACAGTGGCACTGTGACCAAGATGCTCTGACTCGTGCTCCACGGAGAGCTTCAAGAAAGCAGGTGACTACGTATCACCTTATTGGTAAATCTCACTCTAAACTCTTCTAACTGTGAGCTTCTGGAACACAGATGACACCTCTCCAGCTGGTACCTATTTCCCAGCACTTCCGTTTCTCTGGATCTGTCCCATGGATCCCAAGTTACCAGTCCCCTTTGTCAGAAACAAGTCACTGCGATTGTGCAGGACAGCAGGGCAGCAGATAGGAGGAGAGGTGGACAGAGGTCACCTTGTAAGGTGAACATTAGGTTCACAACACTGGATGGGAGAGGCCCGGGGGACGCTGGAGCTGGCGAGTCCCATTACTCAGTACCTCTGTTTCATCAGGTTTGAGGGTTTCCTTTTACTAATAGATTTGAAGCATCACTCTGTCTTTCCCATGCTGGGTGACAGTGTCCTTCCTCTGTGAGTTTTATTTCTGAATTCTGTGAATCTCGTTCTATTTCATTAGAGTCACATCATTAGTACAACTATAATTTCAAAGTATGAAAATCTAGTAAAGTTTCTATGTAAATACCATTTAACTGCCAGCTACCAAGATCACGTTATGTTAGCGGACTCTGACCTGAACAGTACTATAACAAAAACCAAAGTTCACGAACGAAGCTACTGAGTCAACATTCTCCTCAGATAAAGGTTTTCTATCTTGCTTGTCAGTCATGTCTCAGGAGGAAGCAACCCCAGCTCCTCCTTTTTTTCCCTGATGACAAGGATTGGAACCCATCACTTCTTTAAGGGACCAGGGCCAGAAAACAGTAGAGTAGGCCCTGTCCCAGAGCCAGGGCAGTCAGTTCTAGCCCTGGGGTGGCCTTGCCAAGCGCTCCCAGGCGAGCTCCGCCACCTGCTCTCTAAGCTGTCTGGCTCACGCATTATCATTCTGTGTGTGATTCCAAAAGAACCAAATCTTTTCACGTAATAATAATAATGACCTTTTAAAAAGATGAGTGGATGTGAATGGAAACAAGAGAGGCTGTGTTCTTACAGAGGGAAGGTAATGCACTTGACCTTTAGCTGCTGCTATCGCTTCAATCCCAACAGGCTACAAACCACTATTCAGACCCACAGGTTGAACTTGACAAAGAACCTGTGGTTTTCTTGGTTTCCTACCTGCTGCTGGGAAGGTGTGTAAAATCAACTCAACTCTCACTGGAGCTCCCCAGGGTGAGGGGGCAGTTCTCACCCATGCCTGCCTCCTGGCACCTTAGGTCTGCTCCATGCCCCCCCAAGACACTTTTGAGATGGATTTGCCTCCAGTATCACCAGGGTGGGGCGTCAGGAGAACTGAGCCCCAGAAGCCAGTGCCTCACAGGTTCCACTGCACATCCTTGTTCAGGGTCGCAGCTTGCTTGGTTTTCACTTGTGTCTTTTTCTCTTGCAAAGCCTCTGTCTTCCATCACTATTTTCTTTCCTTGCAGTTTCCTATATAATTTAACTCCCAAAAAGAGGTTACGCTTTCTGAAAAAATGTCGCTGAAAGAGTATCTCAAAGAATTTTCAGGAAAATGAAATTAAGAGACTATTCTTTTGATGCAAAAATGTTTTGAAATTCAATTTTTTTTACACTATGCATTTTCCATGAGCTTTTTCAAGACAATGTATAGATTTGAAATTTTTTGCACCCAAATAAACATTTTTTAATTCTATTTTCTATGGATTTCCTAAAGTATCCTGTATACTGTCAGTTAAATCTAATAACTCCTTTTCAAAGAAGAAAAAACAGATAAATATTAAAATTACTTACAAAAAACCCTTAGGGGCTCATCTTTTGTGCAACAGCTACATAAACTAGACATAATCCAGCCATGAAGGGACAGAGACCAAGGTGGCTATTGAGATCCCGGCTGATCTTACAACACTAAAGCTGATGGATACTTCATAGTTTTCTTTAGAATTTTCCTTCTGGAAAATTTGTACTAAAGAAAATACTAATGTTTTCCACTAGGAAGAGTTTAAATGACACACTTTCACATTAAGTGTTGGTTTAAAGTCTTCTTTGATTCACTGACTGCTCTAAAAAAAATTAGAAAAAAATTAGGTACTTTGTACTACCCATACCATATATAACCTTTTAAAAAAAGATGCAGAGTGTGACGGACAGATATTTCTTGAGGGACAGAACATTCCTCAATTGGCAGGTAAGAGTGAAAGCCAAGCCAAACGAAATATGGCTCTTGAGCACTTAGAAAAAAATAATGAACAAACAACACGTAAGAAAAAAATTTTTAAAATCTCAAATGGTGAAAACACATATATTTCCTGGCAGACAGGGACGATCCTGCCATCAAAAATGAGTAGAATGCTGAGTTTTGGACCGCAAAATAAATTTATTAGGTGGTCATCAGTTAAACTGACAGGTGAACTGATTTTGAATATATTAATTTTACATGGAATTAGAAATCTGGCTGAATCGATACTGAGGCTTAGCAGTGGTGGATCCCTGCAGGCAGGAATTTATCTCCTCGGAGTATCCGAGGGCAAGGGAAATAGAGGAGAAGTGTCTCATGTGGGTACTACAAACCGCTCAGCCATCAATTCTACTCAAATACAGAAATATACTCAACCACATGTTACCAAAGCTACACAGCACGGCTTTAAGGTCTGCATTTTCCTTCACGATGGCAGCCTCACGGGCCGCCATGGCACCTGCCACGCAGAGCAGTGTAAGGAGCAGAGATGAGCAGCTGCTGAGAGCTATGCATTCAGGGGGAAAATGCTGCTGGTGAGCCAGAGTGAGAAATGACATTCCAAAGTGTGACGCCACGACCTCCCCCACTCCCTGAATCACAGACGCAAACCAAGCCGGAAAGTGCTCCACAATGCAAGGAAGTCCTTCAGAAAACCTTACTAGCTCTCCTCATTTCAAATCCACAGAGAGCTATGTGTGCAACACAGAGAAATGGCCACCCATGGTTAACACGGTGGCAGGGGAAGCCACAGGGGAAGGAGCTGCTGAGTGAGGAAGCTTGCTCCCCTGCAGGCCAGAACACTGGCATGCGTGGCACAGCGCAGCAGCCTCCCTAAACCACGACTGGCCATGCCTGTTGGGGACCACCCCATGTGCAAAGTGGCAGTGTTTCAGGGCAGCCAACCTCAGAGGGGACACCTCATCAGGAGCAGTGGCCTGTACATGACCGGGATGAGGGGCAACTGAGCCGTGAGGTCATCATCTATTGGCTTTTCTTCCTAAAGTTACTGGACAAAGCCCTGGAGAAAAAGGGTTCTTACAAATGATTCTGCATTTCAGGTTTCTTTCCCTGGAAGAAAATCTCATGAATACCAAACAATGAACCTTTGATCACTATATTCACTAGGAGCCTGTGTACAAAAATATCCACACTAAATTGGAATTTTGAGATAGTTTTTAAATGTATAAAAATGTACCAGACTGGTGAGTGCAAGTCTCCGGTTTTCGTATCCCATGCTCTTTAGAACCAGAGAAATGGAGGCAGGACATTTTCCTAATCTGCTACTATTTAACAATGGTCAAGAGTTCTGCTCCTGGGGCCAGGTGGTCAGCTGGTCAAGTGCCTCAAGAACATCCCTTACCACTCTGAGCAGATGCGATCCCTGCTGCTTCACACTAGCCCGTCTGCATACACAAGGCCTGGCTCCTCACGGCCCTACCTAGGCCAGCAGCAGCAGCAACAGCGGCGGCGGCAGAGGCCCAGGACCCCACGAATGTGGCCTGGGAAGGCAGCTGCCTCCCCCAGCACAGGGTCTCACAGGGCGCACTGGAAGGCCGGGGACTCATTCCGTGCCGCGGTTGTGCTGGGAGGATCGGGGCGCCTGGTCTGGGGGATTTTCTGCTTGGGGCTTTTTGTTTCCTCTTCCTCCTCGGTTTCACTCTCGCAGACATGCACCACCACGCTGGGTGTCGACTCCGTCCCTGCATGTAGTTCGTATTTCTCTCCTGCGGAGGCAAACAAAACGAGAGCTGGGCCAAAAGCCTCACTTTGTTCTGGAAAACCTCTCACTCTGCTGATGTTCCACTGCTGACTATCTGACTATGGCTTTGTTTTTTTTTTTTTTTTAATAATCTTTAATTCAATGACAAAGCACTGCATCTGCTTTGACATTAGAGATTTGGTGCCTCTGTAGTACTGAGGTCTGGGGGTTGAAGTGTGAATGCGAGTCCCGGGCCCGTGGACTGCACAGCTCACTCTGCCAGACCTCACTACATGCTCAGCTTTCCGCAGGGAGACTTGGAAGGCCGTGAGCAGCGAGGCCCAGCTCTAACACTGACAGCAGCAGCCATTTCCCCTTTGGGTGCCTCCTGGGTCCTCTGCAGGAGACGCCGTCTGGAGCAGATAAGCAGGCCAAACCATTGCCATTGGTGTTTCACAGGATTTAACAGACAGGAAGGGGCGGCAAAGAGACGCTGCCATAGAAATGCCCCAGCCCAGGCATGAAGCCAGGCTGTGCGACTTCGTTCTGCAATCATGCAGCCCCTCTGCCTGGAACAGGGTCAGTCTGCTTCTTGGGTCAAAAACAGGAATCATGGAAGTTTGTTACCTGGTCCCAACTTGGAAACGGCACAGAGCAGATCATAATTGATGACGGGTACAGCGTCTTCACTCTGCTTCCATCCGACTGGGGGAGAGGCTGGCGGGGAGATGAGAAATTGCTTGGCAGGCTGGGGCGGCAGCAAGTACGACTTGTCGCGTGCTTCGTTGGACACCTGCACCTGCAGTGGACAGAGTATCAGAACCAGCCTGCAAAATGGGCAAGTTTTCTTTCTTTACATCAACTGTCCTAGCTCCTTAGAGAAAATGACGATCTCTTAAAACAGTATGAGCTACAGGAAACTGGGGCTCTGCGTGCTAGCACGTGCTGCATGCTCAGTGACCGGGAGCTGACTGCAGGAACGGACGGATAGAGATGAGGGAAGAGCTCAGTGCTGGCAACTGCTAAGCCCTGATCGTAGAATGGACAGAGCTGTGTCACCGCGTGTTGCAAGACACTCCACCAAATGCGCATCTTTGCATTTGGAATGTGAGGCAACAACCCCGTGCTCCCCTGCCACGATTTGAAAGCTAAAACCACCAAAGAAGGTTACTGTACATAAAACAATGCACTTCATTCAGAAATAGAGACCTAATACCTTCATTGTGCCAACAGCCAGGAAGAAAGCAGGTTCTCATGCAGCCACACAGCTGCAGGTGAGCAACGCAGGTGGAGCACAGGCCGTCCACCGTTTGTCCCCTCCTGGCCAACCCCTGACCAGCAGACCTTCCCTGCGGGTTCCTCACAGAGCACGGAAGATGGCATGAACATAACTTTCCCAAGTCGCCTGAGAAGACTGTCTACACTCATGGGGGAGACACCTGAGGGTGCTGGGCTCAACCCCCACAGAGCCCCAGCTGAGAACTGTCAGAATCTCTGAGACCCTCCGAGCCAGCAAAGCAAAGTCAGGAGGAAACGCTTTCTTGACAGGCTTTGCTGACTGGAAGTGTCTGTTTCCAACACCACCCAGGTGGTGACACAGCAGAGGGAGAAGTGCCAAGGCAGAAGCTGGGCGGTGCAGCAGCGAGCAGGGCGTGCTGCCTGGTACCTGCGCGAAGTACAGCTTCAGCTTCCGGCCGGCGAAGTCGGTGTCATGCAGCTCGATCCGCGCTCTCGCTGCCGCTTCGGGCTTGCTGAAGTTTATGCGGACTCTTCTAAAGCTTTTAAACAGCTGAAAGGTGACTTGGTCATCGTAGAGGGTGAAGAGGGCCTCAAATTGCTCCTGCAAACAGAGGAGTGGCAGGACAGACAGAATGGGGCAGGGAAAGGAAAAACAAAACAAAACAAAAACAAACCTTTAACAAGGAAATCCAGGTGATCAGATGCAAGCCACGGAGTATTCACCACCAGCCACCTTTTCTCCAAAAAGGAGCAGGCCTTTCCTGGAGGCCTGCAAGCACAGGGATCCTCTTGCGGAAAATCTTTCTTGCGCTAATAGAACTTGAATATAACCAACTGTATGAAGGTCATAAAATGCAAGGCAGCAAATACAGAGGCTGGCACTGTGGCATGGTAATGTTAAGCCTCTGCCTGCACCTCTAAATATGTCATCATGCTGTGTGTATTCCATAACTTGCTTTTTTTTTTAATCAAAAAAGATTTTATTTATTTGAAAGGAAGAGGGACAGATTTTTCCATCTGCTGGTCTACTTCCCAAATGGCCAGAAGAACCAGGAAGAAGGCAGGAGCCTTGGAACTCTCTCTAGGTCTCCTAAGTGGTGACAAGAGACCTGAATGCGTGGGGTCTCTGGGCCTGCCTTCCCAGGTACACATCAGCAAGAAGCTGGATTGGAAGCAGAGCAGCCACGACTTGAATGGGCACTCCAACACAGCACGCCAGTGCCACTAACAGTGGCCTGACCTGCTGTGCCACAACAGACACCTGCAGGCCCTGCTCGGCCCTTGGACTTGTGTTTCCCTTGCTGCTCTAAGTCACTGGTTTTCACTAGCTAGGGAGTATTCTCGTGTAGTGCCACACCACCATGCAGCTCTTTGGGTGCCCCTGAACATGTGGCCTGCCCGCCCACCGCACTGTCACACTCTCACCCTGTCCACAGGCAAGGACTCCTCCGGTGAATATCCTGACAAGTGAAATCCATCGGCTCTTAGAGATGCCACATCTTTCACTTCAGCAGGGAAGCCCAGTGTTGGCACCAACTTAGTACAAGCATGTTTTGGTTGCTTCTAATCTGCCCACACGTCACCCAGTTAGGCGCCTGAACTCTTATCAGGGGCAGGCAGGGAGAATGAAACGGCCTCTAAGGGAAGGGTCCTCACTGAACGCAATGGCTGCAAGTTCACCCATGTCACTGTGTGCTTTTTGTCAAGAATTCACTGTACGGGTATTCATTCATTTTCCCACTGATAGCAATTTCTATTTTCATTATGTTTAAAATTATGTTTTCAAAGGTACATTTATTTTTTATTGGAAAGTAAGATATACAGAGATGAGGAGAGACAGAGAGGAAGATCTTCTGTCTGTTGATTCACTCCCTAAGAGGCTGCAATGGCTGGAGCTGAGCCAATCCAAAGCCAGCAGCTAGGAGCTTCTTCTGGGTCTCCCAGGCGGGTGCAGGGTGCCAGGGCTTCGGGCCATCCTCGACTGCTTTCCCAGGCCACAAGCAGGAAGCTGGATGGGAAGTGGAGCTGCCAGGATTAGAACCGGCACCCATATGGGATCCCGGGGCATGCAAGGTGAGGACTTTAGCTGCTAGGCTACTGTACCGGGCCCTAACATATTTTTAAAATTAATTTTAGAGGCCAGGGATGAGGAGAGAGCAGAGACAGCTGACTGTGGGGGAGGGAGCTGAACCCCTATCTCCTGGTTTATTCCCTAGATGCCCACAATGACAGAGGGTCAAAGTTGGGGTTGGGAATCTAACCATTTTAACCCCCACTGCTCCCTCACAGGGTTACACTGGCAGGAAGCTGGAGTCAGGAATTAACTTCGGGTACTCCAGCAGGACATGTGGGCATTTTAATTACAATGCTACACACCTCCTGCTTTTTTTCCACTATATTAAAAATCAAAGCGCTGTGAATACTCAAGTACAAAGCTTTGTGCAGCTGTGACTTTGGGTAAATCCCTAAGAGTGGAAATGCTGAGGACAGGTACAAAACGAATTATGAAGAAAAAAGAGCAAAGCGATTCCATCCCTTTCTGCTTCCACCACCAGCTGCTCCACATTCACCTCAACTCACGGGATACACGGTCCTGAACTGCGGCCATTCTAGTGGCTCTGCAGTATTACCTCATGTAGTTTTAATTTGCATTTCCCTAATACCTACTAATGTCCAGCATTTTTTTCTTACATGCATTAATTTTTATTGAAAAGGCAGATTTATATAGAGAAAGAAACAGAAAGATCCTCCTCCCTCTGCATCACTCCCCGAATGGTCACAAAAACCAGAGCTGAGCCAATCTGAAGCCAGGAACTTCTTCCAGGTCTCCCACGTGGGTGCAGGGTCCCGTTGCTTTGGGACGTCCTCGACTGCTTTCCCAGGCCACAAACAAGGAGCTGGATGGGAAGTGGAGCTGCTGGGATACAAACTGGTGCCCATACGGGATCCCAGTATGTGCAAGGTGAGGACTTTAGCTGCTAGGCTACTGTGCCAGGCCCTAGGCTTTACTTCTAACCTTCATTCATTCTTACATTTTAGATATGTTTCATAAAAAAAATGTGTGTATAATTTTTGTGCATGTACCCGAATGTAGAAAAATTTAGTTTGGCAATCTTTACCATCTAACTGGAAGAGTTAATCCACTGTGATTACTGATCTTTTTGGATGCCTACTATCATATCTGTCTCAGATTTTCTGTTAATTTCCTTTCTTTCGTGCCTTCTTTCAGCTATTTTTCTCTATTTTCCTCATATAAATGATATTCCTATGAAAGATGTGAACCTATATTTAGCACCTTCTTTAAAATGCATAATTTCCTATAATCATAGTTGCTCTTACTAAGGCAAAACAACACAATAGTTTTCTTAAGGTTCATATTTGGAATATGGGGTGGGCTCACACTTACCTGATGTTAAGACAGTGGTGATCCCATAAAGTTAAAATCACTGCCAACTACTCTACCTTTTCGGTGCCCACCGTATGGGTACAACACAGAACATGTGCTTGCAACAATCCCTGAGGCTTTTTCCTTATACAAGAACAGGGTTCCCCAGAATGGGGGGCCTGTGAACTGTCAGCAGGTAAAGTGACTCCAGTTCTCCCAACTCCTTGCAAGCAACATCCTGGAAGGTTAAAAGCCCTGGCTAGCTGGGCAATGGGTGCACGAAGCTCCCTCAGAAAGGGGAAGTGGGAAGGCCCTGCTGAGGACCAACTCCCAGGAGTTAGCAGGTGAGGGTGGCGGCTAAGTCGGCCTTTCCTGACCTTCTGGAATGACTGTAGCTCCACTCTGTCCCCTGTCCCAACACGGAGAAGGCAAGGTTTACTCATCCCACTGTGGAGCAGGCCATGGAGATGACCGTGCTGCCCCTGCTCTGCTCTGCACTGACGGATGTCCAGGAGCCGCTCACTGTTAGCAGGAAGAGGAGGAGGAAGGGCAGGTTCAGTGTGATGTTTCCATCTGTCCTTCTGTAAATCTGACAGAGGAAGTTCCATCTCTGCAGAGGTTCACTAACGCCACAGGCAAAGCTCCCCCTTTGCCTGGGGACAGCAAAGTGCCAGATGTGGTCTGAGTGCTTGTGCCCCTTGAGATTTCCTATGCTGAACCCCAGGTGCCAGTGTCTTGGTGCGCTATGGGTCTCTGGGAGGAAAAGAGGTCCCGAGGGCAGCCCGTCCTCCTAAGTGAGGCCCGAGGGAGTGTGTCTGGGCTTCGCCAAGTAGGCACATGCCGGAGGTGCCATCCCCCAGGCACAGACCCTCTTCAGACCCCAGCCTGTTGTGCCTTGATGCTAGACTTTCCAACCTCCACAATGGGAACACTACACCTCTGCGTGCTCTAACCAGCCTGAGCTGGCCCCCACTGGTGCCACACTGCTGAGTCAGGAAATGTCGCATGCAGAATAAGTACACTCAGCCATGCACAGCGAATACAGAAAATCATCTGGATAATTTGAGCACTTGTCCAAGTATGGAACCTAAATTCAAAAGTGCTAAGGGAAGCAGAATATATTTAAACCTTTTAACTTTCTATAGCCTTTATTTACTATTTATATAGGCAAGGAACATGTAACCGATTTAAAATTCAATAAAAGACGGAATACTGGGCCCGGCATGGTAGCTAAAGACTTTGCTTTGCATCTGCTGGGATCCTATATGGGTGCTGGTTCTAATCCCAGCAGCCCTTCTTCCCATTCAGCCCCCTGCTTGTGGTCTGGGAAGGCAATTGAGGATGGCCCAATGCCTTGGGACCCTGCACCTGTGTGAGGCTCCAGGCTTTGGATTGGCACAGCTCCAGCCATTGCGGCCAAGTACTTGGGGAGTGAATCAACAGATGGAAGATCTTCCTCTCTGTCTTTCCTCCGCTCTGTATATCTGACTTTCAAATAAAAATAAAATAAATCTAAAAAAAAATGGAATATAATCTGCTTAGTAGCAATCTTTGTTTTTAATGGCTGACATATTTATAAATATATATTCTGCCCTACTGGAATATAAATTTTTAAACAGCTATGCCTTGTTTTCAAACATATAACATTCACTACACCATGTAGAAGAAAATTGGCCAGCACAATAACATCCAACGAGTTATGGGCTGGTTAAACTGGGGCAGATGAGAAACACTCCTGACTGGAAGGTGGGTTTTGTGCAGTCGCGGCTAAATGCCACCAAACAGCAAATCCTGAAGATCTACACATGTCACAGTAGGTGAGTTTCACTCAGTTAAAAAAAATCTGTAAATAAGGGATGGGTGGGAAGAGGTGGCTGTGAATGTCAGCTGTGAAGAGTGGCACCTAGGTGCCCCCAGGTCTGCCACAGGAGTGCCAGCCGCTAGCCCAGCTTAGAGCACAGCAAGCTGGCTCTGGGCTACTGCTTCCTGTCTCCTTTGAGTGACACATTGTCAGTTGCTAGCAGTGATCTGCTCATCAAACTTCCTCTTTCTCTGGCAGCTTAGCTGAAAAAGTCGGTGCTTGCTCTGAAGGGGTGCACAATGCCCCATCATTTTCTAGCACTCGGGGGACGGGGGCAGTTCTAGCCCCTAGAAAACAAAGTCTGCAGTTAAGCAGGCGAGATTTACAGCCACAGCTACCAGCCAGCTACAGCATC